AAAAAAAAAAAAAAGTGTTAGAAACATTCTGAGCAACATCATTTAAGCATTCTCTGTCACAGATTGTAAACAAATGAAATAAATATCTACGATCTAATCTTGGTTATCCTTTCCTTAGCATGAGCAGAGTAATGCAGTACCATGGCTGTCGCAGTAACATTAAGGATCGAAGTAAAGTGACTGAGTTAGAAGATAAATTTGATTTACTAGTTGATACCAATGATGTAATTCTGGAGAGAGTGGTGAGTATTTTCCTTCACTCTTATGGTAACTAACAAAGAACGTTGTATTATTAAAATATACAGAAAAATCCAGACACCTTAGAAAATGAAAAGGAAATAAGCTTAACATTTCTTATAATGACATTCACTTTTGATAGTTGGCATGTTTTTTCTAGAAAATAATTACAGTTGTCTTAAAAATATTACTACCCCATAGAAGCCCGCTATTTGTTTGTTTGCTTGTTTGTTTGTTTGTTTTGAGATGGAGTCTTGCTCTGTCACCCAGGCTGGAGTGTAGTAGGACGATCTCAGCTCATGGCAACCTCAACCTCCCAGGTTCAAGTGATTCTCCTGCCTCAGCCTCCGGAGTAGCTGGGATTACAGGCACCTACCACTATTCCTGGCTAATTTTTGTAGAGACAAAGTTTTGTTACATTGGCCAGTCTGGTCTCAAACTCTTGCCCTCAAGTGATCCACCTGCCTTGGCCTCCTTAAGTGCTGGTATTATACGCATGAGCCACTGTGCTGGGCCTGGAAGCCTGTTTTAAAAGTGCCTTATTCCGTCCAAGTGCCGTGGCTCAGGCCTATAATCCCAGCACTTTGGGAGGCTGAGGTAGGTGATAACTGAGGTCAGGAGTTCAAGATCAGCCTGGCCAACATGCCAAAACCCCGTCTGTACTAAAAATATAAAAATTAGCCGAGCTGTGGTGGCGAATGCCTGTTCTTCCAGCTACTCGGGAGGCTGAGGCAGGAGAATCAGTTGAACCCAGGAGGCGGAAGTTGCAGTGAGCCAAGATCACGCCACTGCACTCCACCCTTCGCAACAGAGTGAGACTCTGTCTCAAAAAAAAAAAGAAAAAAAAAAGTTAAAATGCCTTATTCTGGCCAGGTGCAGTGGCTCAAAATCCTAGCACTATGGAAGGCCGAATTGAAAGGATTACTTGAGCTCAGGAGTTCCAGAATCAGCCTGGGCAATGTAGTGAGACCTTGTCTTTGTTTAAAATAGATAGATAAATAAATAAAGTACCTTATTTATTTATAAGGTATAAGATCTGGAAGGAATCTTCCTTCCAGATCTTCAAATTCTGTTATTATTATTTATTTTTATTTTTTTTATTGAGACGGAGTCTCGCACTGTCGCCCAGGCTGTAGTGTAGTGGTGTAATCACGATCTCGGCTCACTGCAATCTCCACCTCCTGGGTTCAAGCAGTTCTCCTGCCTCAGCCTCCCTAGTAGCTGGGACTACAGGCAAGTGCCACCATGCCCAGCTGATTTTTTTTTGTATTTTTAGTAAAGTCAGGGTTTCGCCATGTTGGCCAGGATAGTCTCTGTGTCCTGACCTCGTGATCCACCCGCCTCGGCCTTCCAAAGTGCTGGGATTACAGGTGTGAGCCACCTCGCCCAGCCCTGTTTTTATTCTTTTTGAAGACTGAAGTCTTGCTCTGTCGCTTAGGCTGGAGTCCAGTGGTGCGATCATAGCTCACTGCAACCTTGAACTCCTGGGCTTAGGCGATCCTTTCACCACAGCCTCCCCTATAGCTAGGACCACAGGTGTGTACCACCATGTCTGGCTAGATTTTTTTTATTTTATAGAGACAATGTCTCACTGTGTTGCCCAGGCTGATCTTGAGCTTCTCAAACAATCCTGGTCTCAATCAGTCAACCCACCTCAGCCTCCTTAGTCGCTAGGATTACAGGCCTGAGCCACTGTGCCTGACAAGATTTGCAAATTCTATTTGTATTGCAAGAGAATAAGCCCTTATATTACCCAACTAAAATATAGGTTATTTGTACTGTTACTCAAAATCTACTGAACACGTCAGTTCACAGGATTGGAAGGAGAAGTGTATTATTCTGTCTTGCTTACCGTCTATTTATGCCTAATTCTATGACAGAACATTATTTTCACAGAGCTACGTAGAGATCATGAAAAACAAATCTAACCTCAACCATCTGACAGTCCTAAAAATATTTAAGGCATGCTCTCCTGTCCTGTGAAGTCATCTCTTCCCTAAATGCCCACAGATCTTTCAGCAGTTTCTGATACCTTGTGATTTCAGGTCCTGCCATACTTCTATGTGTCACCTGGATGTGCCTCTGTTAGTAGTGCCCAAGCTGATATTTCATGTCTTGCTTTAAAGTGCAGAAAAGGCCAGGAGAGGTGGCTCACACCTGTAATCCCAGCACTTTGGGAGGCTGAAGAGGGTGAATCATGAGGTCAGGAGTTCAAGGTCAGCCTGGCAAAGATGGTGAAACCCCCTCTCTACTAAAAATACAAAAAATTAGCCAGATGTGGTGGCAGGCACCTGTAATCCCAGCTACTCAGGAGGCTGAGGCAGAGAATTGCTTGAACCCAGGAGGCGGAGATTTCAGTGAGCCTAGATTGCGTCACTGCACTCTAGCCTGGGCGAGAGCAAGACTCCATCTCAAAAGTAAAGAATAAATAAATAAAGTACAGAATAGGCCGGGCGTGGTGGCTCATGCCTGTAATACAAGCACTTTGGAAGCCAAGGTGGGTGGATCACCTGAGGTTGGGAGTTCAAGACCAGCCTGACCAACATGGTGAAATCCTGTCTTAATAATAAATAATAAAGTACAGAATAGATCAGGACTCCCTGCAGCCTCATTCTGAGTAGTATACGTCTATATGTAATGTATGCAGTCCAGGGACTTCTTAGTTATTTTAGTGGCCACATTACACTGGTAAATCATATTAGAATTTTCAGCCCAGTTCAGAGCTGTAAAGAGTCAGTCGAGTATTGGGCATGAATAATTACTGTCCTACCTGCCTTTGAGTAAATAATGCATTAATTACTTGGCGTGATGTACTAATCACCTTTCATATATTGATCAGCTCTGTAAAATTTTTATTTTTTTAATTGACAAAAGTCGTATAGATGCTCCTTGATTTACAATTGGGTTATGTCTCAATAAACCCGTATTGTAAGTCAAAAATGCATTTAACACACCTCCATTAGTCTAGAGTTGGGCACAATCTTTTTTTTTTTTTTTTTTTTTTGAGACAGAGTCTTGTTCTGTCGCTAGGCGCCAGGCTGGAGTACAGTGGCATGATTGTGGTTCACTGCAACCTCCGCCTCCTGGACTCAAGTGATTCTCCTGCCTCAGCCTCCCAAGTAGCTGGGATTACAGGTGTGCATCACCATGCCCAGCTGATTTTTGTATTTTATTAGCGACAGGGTTTCACCATGTTGGCCAGGATGGTCCCAGTCTCTTGACCTTGTGCCTTGTGATCTGCCCGCCTTGGCCTCCCAAAGTGCTGGGATTACAGGCGTGAGCCACCATGCCCGGCCGAGTTGGGCACAATCTTACACAAAGCCTCTTTTTTTTTTCATTTTGAGACAGAATCTTGCCCTGTCACCCAGGCTGGAGTGCAGTGGCATGATCTTGGCTCACTGTAGCCTCTTGCCTCCCAGGCTCAAGTGATTCTCCTGCCTCAGCCTCTCAAGTAGCTAGGATTACAGGTACCCTCTACCATGCCCAGCTAATTTTTGTATTTTTAGTAGAGACGGGGTTTCACCAGGTTGTCCAGACTGGTCTCGAACTCCTGATCTCAGGTGATCCACCCATCTCTCAGCCTTCCAAAGTGCTGGGATTACAGGCATGAACCACCTCGCCTGGCCACAAAGCCTCTTTTTATAATACAGTGTTGAATATCTTATGTAATTCAAGCAGTGCTGAATATATTTCTGAAAGTAAAAAAACAGGTTGTGGCCGGGTGTGGTGGCTCATGCCTGTAATCCAGCACTTTGAAGGGCCAAGGCAGGAGGATCAGTTGAGGTCAGGAGTTTGAGACCAGCCTGGTCAACATAGTGAAACCCCATCCCTACTAAAAAATCCAAAAATTAGCCAGGCGTGGTGCCGTGCACCTGTGGTCCTAGCTACTTGGGAGACTGAGGCATGAGAATTGCTTGAACTTGGGAGGTGGGGGGCTGCAGTAAACCAAGATTGGACCACTGTTCTCCAGCCTGGGTAACAGAGCAAGACTTCCGTCTCAAAAAAGAAAAACAGGTTGTAAGTATACGTGAAGTATGGATTCTGCTAAATACAAATCGCTTTCACACCATTGTAAGCTCAAAACATTTTCTTTTTTTTTTTTCTTTTGACCACTTGAGGTCAGGAGTTTGAGACCAGCCTGGTCAACATGGTGAAACCTGTAAACTCAAAATCTTCTAAGTCAAACTATCATACATCAGGGACCATCTGTATATATTTATGACATACAACATGATGTTTTGACATATACGTTGATCTGTTCTTATATATGTATATTTTCTTACATAAACATCTCTGAATATATTTTTTTTGAATGTTACGTAATTAGGCTGGGTGTGGTGGCTCACACCTGTAATCCCAGCAGTTTGGGAGTCTAAGGCAGGCAGATCACTTGAGGTCAGGAGTTCGAGACCAGCTCAGGCAACATGGCGAAACTCTGTTTCTACTAAAAATACAAAAAGTAGCCAGGCATGGTGATGTGCGCCTGTAATCCCACCTGCCTGGAAGACTGAGGCAGGAGAATGCTTGAGGTGGAGGTTTCAGTGAGCCCAATTCAGACTGTGAAGAGTTGCAGTGAGCTGAGATCGCACCACTGTACTCCAGCCTGGGCGACAGAGTGAGACTCTGTGTGTCGGATAAATAAATAGGTAATTAACTCTGTTGACCTCAAAAGGAAAAATACTAAACCAGTACCTCTTCTATTCTTAGGGTATTTTACTGGATGAAGCCTCAGGTGTAAATAAGAATCAACAGCCTGTCCTCCCCGCCGGCCTGCAGGTCCCCAAAACGGTAGTGTCCAGCTGGAACCGTAAGGTGAGGACTTTTCAGATTAACTAGAGCTCCTGACGTCAGCTTCATAATAGGGATTTTGCTCATTCTAACATGCATTTCTGTTCAAATTTATTAGAGAACTGGTCACTGCCTCCTTTAATTTGTTCTCATAAACACACAACCTAATTACACCCTGTTCACTTTCTGGAGACATCCACATACACATGCATTCTTAAATGAATGGCCCGTGGGATATTGTCTCCTTGGAAGTCATAAATTGGAATTTACTTTTCTAATTCATCAAGTTGCTGTGTTGTAAAGTATTTGTATGCATTGATCGTAGGCAGCAGAATATGGCAAAAAAGCAAAATCTGAAACTTTCCGTCTGCTTCATGCAAAAAATATCATCCGACCTCAGCTGAAGTTTCGAGAGAAGATTGACAATTCCAACACACCATTTCTTCCTAAAATCTTCATTAAACCCAATGCTCAGAAACCCCTCCCTCAAGGTAAGTAGTTCATACTTTGCTTGCATTTGAGTCTCACTTTGTTTGATGCAAAAACCAGGAAAGCCATACACGTCTCTCCACCACCCTCCTTTCTTCAAAGGGAGCCCAGTTCATCTATTCCAGAGGCTGAGGTGGGAGAATCACTTGAGCCCAGGAGGCCGAGGCCGCAGTGAGCTGTGATTGTGCCACCACACTTCAGCCTGGGGGACAGAACATGACCCTATCT